ATCGTGGGAGTCGGAGTCTGTGGGTCTGTGGGTCGTTCTGTGTCTGATGTGGATCTGGGCAGGAACAGTCTGACGCAAATGGAAAAGAAGAAGAAGAAGAAGAAGAAGAGGAGGAGGAGGAGAGTCTGAGGAGGCTCCTGGTTCTGCTGCTGCGGTGGAATAAGAAGATAAAGAAACTCTGTCGTCCACCAGAAAAGTTCCACAATAGAAAATGGAGACAAAAGTAAAAAAAAGAAAAAAAAGAGGGAATATTGAAAAACTGATGATTAAGATTTTAAAAACATTTTTCAATAAAATTTTTTTTTTTTTTTCCTTCAAAATTTCTCACAGGATTTATTCACTCTGATTTTTAATCGTCTCTAAGTTTTTAAGTCTCTAAATGTTCAATGTTTTAATATAAACTATATTTGTTATTAATTATTACTTTATTTCATTCATAAAATATTAAAGCTCAGAGTCAATTTTGTGTGTGTGTGTCTGTGTGTGTGTGTCTGTGTGTGTGCGTCTGTATGTGCGTGTTCATGTGTGTGTGTGTGTGTTCGTGTGTGTCTCTGTGTGTGTCTCTCTGTGTGTGTGTATGTGTACGTGTGTGTGCGTCTGTGTGTGTGTGTCTCTGTGTGTATGTGTGTGTTCATGTGTGTGTATGTGTGTGTTCATGTGTGTGTGTGTGTGTGTGTGTGTGTCATGTGTGTATGTGTACATGTGTGTGTGTGTGTCTGTGTGTGTGTCTCTGTGTGTGTTCATGTGTGTGTATGTGTGTGTTCATGTGTGTGTGTGTGTGTGTGTGTTCATGTGTGTGTATGTGTGTGTTCATGTGTGTGTGTGTACGTGTGTGTGTTCATGTGTGTATGTGTACGTGTGTGTGCGTCTGTGTGTGTGTGTGTCTGTGTGTGTGTCTCTGTGTGTGTTCATGTGTGTGTATGTGTGTGTTCATGTGTGTGTGTGTGTGTGCGTGTTCATGTGTGTGTATGTGTGTGTTCATGTGTGTGTGTGTACGTGTGTGTGTTCATGTGTGTATGTGTACGTGTACGTGTGTGTGTGCGTCTGTATGTGTGTGTGTGTATCTGTGTGTGTGTCTCTGTGTGTGTTCATGTGTGTGTATGTGTGTGTGTGTATGTGTGTTCATGTGTGTATGTGTACGTGTGTGTGTGTGCGTGGGGTCAGAGGTCGTCGTCCTGTTCTCTTTATTTGCTGATGTCCACAGGAAGTAAAAGCGCGCGCGGACAGGAAGTGAGGACGCACGCTGACGGCCCGGACAGGAAGTGGCTCTTTTGTTGTTGTTCCTCAAAGGAAACGACCTGAGTCCTGATCCGAGACCAGGACCACGGAACCTCACCAAGAACACACAAAAACACACACACACACACACACACAAAAACACAGAAACACACAGAAACACACAAAAACACACAAAAAAACACACACACACACACACACACACACAGGAGGGCCTGACGAGGGATTCTGTGTTCAAATTAAGAGCACGAGTCCTGGTTTCTAGTTTAGTCCTGGTTTAGTTCTGGTTTAGTCCTGGTTCAGTCCTGTTTTAGTCTTGGTTTAGTCCTTTTTTAGTCCTGGTTTAGACCTGGTTTAGCCCTGTTTTAGTCCTGGTTTAGTCCTTTTTTAGTCCTGGTTTAGTCCTGGTTTAGACCTGGTTCAGTCCTGGTTTAGTCCCAGTTTAGTCCTGTTTTAGTCCTTTTTTAGTCCTGGTTTAGTCCTAGTTTAGACCTGGTTTAGTCCTGTTTTAGTCCTTTTTTAGTCCTGGTTTAGTCCTAGTTTAGACCTGGTTTAGTCCTGGTTTAGTCCTGTTTTAGTCCTGTTTTAGTCCTTTTTTAGTCCTGGTTTAGTCCTAGTTTAGACCTGGTTTATTCCTTTTTAGTCCTGGTTTAGTCCTGTTTTAGTCCTGTTTTAGTCCTGTTTTAGTCCTGGTTTAGACCTGTTTTAGTCCTGGTTTAGTCCTAGTTTAGACCTGGTTTAGTCCTGTTTTAGTCCTTTTTTAGTCCTGGTTTAGTCCTGGTTTAGACCTGTTTTAGTCCTGGTTCAGTCCTGGTTTAGTTCTCGTGTTTCTTTACTGTGATTTTCGTGGAACACTTTTGTCTTTTGTATATTGTTACTCGTGGTACTTCAGACTATACTGTTACTTTGTGTACACAAAGTACACAAAGCGGCCTCTCCCCTCCTCATGTGTCCGTGTACTCCCGCGCCTCAGTACTGCAGTTTTGTAGTAGCCCTGAGCTCTCGTGTACTCTGATACTTCTGTGGAAAAGGAAACAGGAGGCTCCAGTCCCCAGGCTCAGACCTTTGTTTGTGTTCACTCACCTGAAACAGGTCAGAGTACAAGTACAAGTACAAGGAGAACGCAGTACAAGTACAAGGAGAACGCAGTACAAGTACAAGGAGAACGCAGTATAAGTATGAGGAGAACGCAGTACAAGTACGAGGAGAAGAAGAACGCAGTACAAGTACAAAGAGAGCGCAGTACAAGTATGAGGAGACTGTAGTACGAATGCGAAGACAGCGTAGTACAAGTACAAGTACAAGGAGAGTGCAGTATGAATATGAGAAGACTGCAGTAGAAGTACATGACAACCCCACCTAATTTATTTAGTAAAGTTTTACCACTACTACAACTACAACTACTACTACAACTACCATCAACAACAACTATTACTGCTACTACTATGACCACTACTACTACTACTACTTCTACTGCTACTACTACTACTACTGTTACTGCTACTACTACTGCTACTACTAGTACTACTACTGCTATTACTACTACTATTACTGCTACTCTTACTCCTTCTACTACTACTCCTTCTACTACTACTACCCCTCCTAGTCCTACTACTAGTACTACTACTGCTACTACTACTACTAGTAGTAATACTCCTAATTGTACTACTACTACTACTACTACTACAACTTATAATATTACTAGTACTACTACCACCTCTATGACTACTGCTACTACTTCTTATAATACTACTACTACTAGTATTGCTACTACTGCTACTACTACTACAATTTGTACTTCTACTACTTATAATACTACTACTAGTACTGCTACTACTACTACTACTACTTGTACTACTTATAATCCTGCTGTTACTCTGAGTAACGACACACAGTTCAGAAACAGAATAAATCTGTGGGTTTTTCCTCTGACTCTTTTTGTTGTGTCTCTTTCTGTCGTTTGTCTCTTAAATTTGTTAAACGTATTTGTAGAAAATTAAATTATACAAAAATGTCCAGAGAAAAGTCCCTAGACTCAGACGCGAGGAACCCCCCTCAGACCCACCACATACTTCTACACTTTTACTCCGAACACAAAGTACTTTTAGGAGTCCAGAGCGACACGTGGACTTGTGTCTGCGTGAATCCCCGTGTCCTCGAAAACCCCTGATGCCACCACATGTTTACAAGTTAAAGCTGCATTGTGTAACTTTTCTGGGGGAGGGGAGGGTCTATCAAACGCTTTTATCCACGGAGATGTTTCTGCTTCGTCTGGAATGTTTCACAGTATTAAATTATTAAACATTTCTGTCTTCACGGAGGTGTTTTTGAGCTCTAAAACCACTAATAAATCTAACGTAGAGCTGAGTAATGTCACACTGTGGAACATTCCAGGCAGAGCAGTGACGTATCCATAGAAACAAGCAGGTCACCAACCCCCAACCAAAAAGTTACACAAAAGTTACACACACAAACTTCTCTCTTCTTGTAAAAGCACAGGCCTCTGGTTTCTTACAGATCATCCGTAGTGAACCCAGTGAACCTGTTCTGAGCAACGCAAGGAGCAGAGGAACCCAGAAGAACCCAGAGGAACCCAGAGGAACCCAGAGAAACTCAGAGAAAACCACAGGAACCCAGACAAAGCCAGAGGAACCCAGACGAACCCAGGGAAAGCCAGAGGAAACCACAGGAACCCAAATGAACCCAGAGAAACCCAAAGGAACTCAGAGGAAACCAGGGAAACCCAGAGAAACTTAGAGGAAACCACAGGAACCCAGAGGAACTCAGAGAAACCCAGAAGAACCCAGATAAACCCAGAGGAAACTAGAGGAACCCAGAGAGACCCAGAGGAACTCAGAAAAAACAACAACAGGGAAACCCAGAGAAACTCAGAGGAACCCAGAGAAACTCAGAGGAAACCACAGGAACTCAGAGAAAGCAAGAGGAACCAAGAGGAAAGCAAAGAAACCCAGAAAAACCCAAGGGAATCCAGAGAAACTCAAAGGAACTCAGAGGAAACCACAGGAAACCAGAGGAACATAGAAGAACCCAAAGCAAGCCAGAGGAACCCAGAGTCTGCTCCCCTCAGCACAGTGGTGGAACGTAACAAAGTAAAAGTACTTCAGAAGAACTTTTAGGTATCTGTACTTTACTTCAGTACATTTTACAGTGTATACTTTTTACTTCACTTCATTAGAGAGCAGGTATCTGTACTTTATACTTCACTACATTTTTAAACTCGACTGAAAAGTAAAAAGAACTTTTCAAATTATTTCAGGCGTCGTTTGTAGTAACATCCTGATTACATTTTTTTTAATTGAAGCTTCAGTTGTCAACAAAACTCATAAGAAAAATTAAGAAAAGATTAGTTACTACAAATATATGTACTGTATACTTTTTTAATCACTGTCACAACATTTGAACAAATTAACAACATTTGTGTGAAATACTTTTACAATTATTTTTTTTAATTAAGAATTTCTGAATCAACAACAGAACATGGAGTCAGTGTTAAAGAGCTTCTCCTTCTTCTAACGTTTCATGTCAAAAAACAATAACAATAACAACAGGACGGAAAAACTTCACCTAAACCTCTTTAATAAAAACTCACAGTCCTCACAGACCTGAAATCCTTCCCTCTTTCTTCACAGTCGCCGTGGTTCTTCTCCTGCGTGCGTCCGGTGGTGTCTGGAGAATTGCTCAGATGTTCTAAAAGCCTCTTCACACTGGTCACACTCGTACAGGATCAGCCACGAGTGAGTTATCTTGTGTTTATTGAGACTGGACGATACAGAGAAAGTTTTCCCACACTGGTCACATGTGTACGGTTTCTCTCCAGTGTGTTTTCTACTGTGTGATGTTAGGCTGCTTGACTGTGAAAAAGTCTTCTCACAAACATCACATCTGTATGGTTTTTCCCCCGTGTGGACTCTCATATGTTGAAGGAGATGACCAGAGTGTTTAAATCCCTTCTCACACTGGTCACATCTGTATGGTTTTTCCCCCGTGTGGACTCTCATATGTCGAAGGAGATGACCAGAGTGTTTAAATCCCTTCTCACACTGGTCACATCTGTATGGTTTTTCCCCCGTGTGGACTCTCATATGTCGAAGGAGATTACTAGAGTGTTTAAATCCCTTCTCACACTGGTCACATCTGTATGGTTTTTCCCCCGTGTGGACTCTCATATGTTGAAGGAGATGACCAGAGTGTTTAAATCCCTTCTCACACTGGTCACATCTGTATGGTTTTTCCCCCGTGTGGACTCTCATATGTTGAAGGAGATGACCAGAGTGTTTAAATCCCTTCTCACACTGGTCACATCTGTATGGTTTTTCCCCCGTGTGGACTCTCATATGTTGAAGGAGATGACCAGAGTGTTTAAATCCCTTCTCACACTGGTCACATCTGTATGGTTTTTCCCCCGTGTGGACTCTCATATGTCGACGGAGATGACCAGAGTTTTTAAATCCCTTCTCACACTGGTCACATCTGTATGGTCTTTCCCCCGTGTGGACTCTCATATGTCGAAGGAGATGACAAGAGTGTTTAAATCCCTTCTCACACTGGTCACATCTGTATGGTCTTTCCCCCGTGTGGACTCTCATATGTCGAAGGAGATTACTAGAGTCTTTAAATCCCTTCTCACACTGGTCACATCTGTATGGTTTTTCCCCCGTGTGAATTCTGTAGTGTGTTTTCAGTCTGGAAGCACTTGGCCACATCTTCCCACACTGGTCACACATGAAGGTCATTCTGTTGTTGGATCTTGTAGCTCTGCATTAGAACAAAGGAAAGAAAGTGTCAAGTAAAATCACTTTTTTAACTGTTCAAATAAAGTATCTCTCACTAAATACACATAAAATCACACACAGTAAATCAGATGTGAGAATGTTTCAGTGTTTTACAAGCAAGTTCCATTTGACTGAATGAATCAACTCAGTTTGTATTTTATTTTAAAGTCACACTTTTTCTGTGTGTAGCAAAAAAAGATCAAATGAAGGAAACATAAACAGAGACATTGAAAATCCGTGTATCATTCGTTCATTAGTTTTTCAATATAAAACCAAAAATAAGAAAACGAAAAAACAACAGTTTTCTTCGTTATTTGTCTCCAAAACCAAAATGAAAAAACGGATAACGATTCGTTTTTTCAGTTTTCGATTTTGTGTTTAAATGAAGAATGGAAAAAACGGATAACGGCCGTTTCCCGTTTACGTGACTTCCGTGACTGCGATGCCGAACTTTTGCACCGCATACGGACTGAACCAGGACTGATCCAGGTCCGAGACCAGACCGAGACCAGAGCGGGACTGAGACCGGGACCAGATCGGGACCAGACCGGGACCAGAGCGGGACTGAGACCGGGACCAGAGCGGGACCGAGACCGGGACTGAGTCTCAGTAGCGCTCTGGTCCCGGTCTGGTCCCGGACCTGGTCCATCTGAACCAAAAGCTCTTAGTTCGGTTCGTTTTCGTTGGGGTGAAAGCATCAGTCGGAGGCTTTGCACCACCTCGGAATCAGCCGCGGTTCTTGAGCGCGGAGGACCAGAGCAGCTCTGTCCCGGTCTCAGTCCTGCTCTGGTCCCGGTCTGGTCTCGGACCTGGATCCGTCCTGATTCAGTCCGTATGCGGTGAGACTGGGACCAGACCGGGACCAGAGCGGGCCTAAGACCGAGATCGAGACAAGACCAGGACCAGACCGGGACCAGACCGGGACCAGACCGGAGGCTCAGAGCCCACGGCAGGACCGGAGCTCGAAGCTGAGGCTCGGACCCCGTGGAGGCTCGGAGTCAAAGCTCGGAGTCCGCCCTGGTCCCGGTCTGGTCCCGGTCTCAGTCCCGCTCTGGTCCCGGTCTGGTCCCGGTCTCAGTCCCGCTCTGGTCTCGGTCTGGTCCCGGTCTCAGTCCCGCTCTGGTCTCGGACCTGGATCCGTCCTGGTTCAGTCCGTATGCGGTGCAAAAGTCCGGCATCGCAGTCACTGAAGTCACGTAAACGGGGAACGGTCGTTATCCGTTTTTTCCATTCTTCATTTAAACACAAAATCGAAAACTTTTGGTTTTGGAGACAAATAACAAAGAAAACTGTTGTTTTTTTCGTTTTCTTATTTTTGGTTTTATATTGAAAAACGAATGAACGAATGATACACGGATTATTGAACAACTTTGTTGCTCTGATTCTCATCCACATGTTGAGCAGATCTGATAAATGTGACACACGTGAAGACAGAAGCCAGGGCTTTGGTGAAACAGAACAACTTTAATACACGCCTCAAGAATCTCAGACTTCCGGTCATTGCGCAGTTTGTACTGGGAAGGATTTTCTGAAAAAGTGAGCGTCAAACCTCCATGTTTGTTTTCCCAGTGGGACGTGTCTATTGACAAAGTCGATCTTTTCAAGTCTTTTGAACCATTTCACTTTTGTTTCTGGTTCTGATATTGTCATATTTTAGTTTTGGGATTCGAACATCCTTAATTGTGTGGTTGTTGGATCCTAACAGCGGAAATTGATTTGTGAACTCCATAAATGCAAAAGTGAATCAGATGTGTGTGACTGCAAACCTCTGTTTAAACTATTTCCCTTCCCATCAGAAATGAAAAACAGTGAAAGGTGAAGGTGATGGGCAGGATTGATCCACAGGAAGGACGAAAAAGGTAATCTTTGACTGTCTAAATCATCCCGAGTTTGCAGAGAACATTTTGTATGTGGAGCGCCATCAAAGCAAAATCCCGATCCCTCTCAGTCTCGGTTATGAATTCAAAAAGTCAACACCAAAGCAAGAGGCACCAACTGTTCACCAAGAAACACCTTCCACTGCGAAGAGACCAAGATGTGATGTTGCTGTAAAACCACAAGAACAAGAAAGTGCAGCTCAGTCTGTTTGTCTTCTGCTCCTCTACATTAACAAACGGGATTTTGTTTTGTCATCGCTCAATGTACAAAATGTTCTCTGTAAACTCGGGATGATTTCTTAGTCAGACAAATGTTTCCTTTTTGGTTCTTCCTGTGGATCAATCCTGCCCATCACCTTCACCTTTCACTATTTTTCAATTCCGTTGGGAAGAGAAACAGTTTGAACGGAGGTTTGAGTCACACACATCTGATTCACTTTTGCATTTATGGAGTTCACAAACACATTTCTCGAGTCGTTTCCCGCTGTTTGGATCCAACAACCACAACAACTACGATGTCCGAATCCCAAAACTAAAATATGACAATATCAGAACCAGAAACAAAAGTGATATGGTTCAAAAGACTTGACAGGATCGACTTTGAAAACAGACACGTCCCACTGGGAAAACAAACATGGAGGTTTGATGGTCACTTTTTTGGAAAATCCTTCCCAGTATGAATTGCGCGATGACCGGAAGCCTGACATTCTTGATGCGTGTTTTGTGTAAGGACAGAAAAACTGCTCTGCTGAGTCATCGGGTCTGACCATTAACAACAGTTTACACTGAACTGTGCTGCTTCTGCTGTATGACTCTGCACTAATACGTTAGTCATTACACACTTATTCACAATATTTTCTGTTACAGGTTTTGTACAAAAGAAAAACAAGTTCATATAAATAACCCAAACGTGACCAAACGCCCGTTTTTCCCCAGACATGTCCGTATTTTGCGTCCTGTCCGGGGCGTCCGGGTTTTTTTTTATAAAGTGATGCAAATGTCCGGGTTTTCAGTACCGTTCACTGGGGCATTAAACTGAGCGTCTCTCGTAGCGTCTGTGACTCAGAAGGAGCGAGACACAAACAGTCGGTCAGTCTGAAACACACCGAAGCACAAATGTGCATTTAACAATGACTTGTACAAGAAATTCTCTGTTTTCCGTCCTGGTCGAGACAAGTGTGAGTCCATGTGCACAGGTTGAGGTGAGAGTTCAGTGTCCCTCGTTTATCGTGGGGGTTATGTTCTAAAAATAACCTGCGATAGATGAAATCTGCAAAGTATCAACTTTATATTTTACAATTATTCTATCTGTTTTAAGTCTGTAAAACCTCTCAGCACAAACTTTATACACTTTTCTCACACAGGACAGTTACAGTTCCCATTTAAAACTTATTTCTGCTGTCGTCCTTTTGTTATTTTCCTCCTTCTTTATGTAACGAACTGAAGATTCATTTATTCCATAATGGAGCCCAACAGAGCAGAGTCCTGCACGGGTCCATGTTTGGAGACCCCCAGTACAACACCGCACCTGCCCGTTAACCCGAGATTATATCAAACTTTTGCGCTGCCTACACCACGGACTGAACCAAGACTAAACCAGGACTAAACCAGGACTAACCCAGGACTAAACCAGAACTGAAACAGGACTGAAGAGGAGAACTAATCCACAACTGAACTAGGACTAAAACAGGACTAAACCAGAACTGAAACAGGACTCAGTGTCAGGACGGAGGTGACGCAGGAGAAAGGACCGGCTCAGCTCCACACTCACGGAGTTAAACGCAGCTGTCACCTGATCGCGCTTTGCGGACAAACTGCTCGCCGTTTTCTCTCTCAAGTCCAAGATTAGTCCTGGTTTAGACCTAGTTTTAGACCTGGTTTAGACCTGGTTTTAGACCTGGTTTAGACCTGGTTTAGACCTGGTTCGGACCTGGTTTTAGACCTGGTTCGGACCTGGTTTTAGACCTGGTTTGGACCTGGTTCGGACCTGGTTTAGACCTGGTTTTAGCCCTGGTTTAGACCTGGTTTTAGACCTAGTTTAGACCTGGTTCGGACCTGGTTTTAGACCTGGTTCGGACCTGGATTTAGACCTGG